TAATATGTATAAAAATATATATTTTTCTGTAAAATTGCTTAAAAATTAAAAATGTGAAATAATTGAAAATTTGAAAATATTTCCAGAAACACAATGTTGGAAAACTTGGAAATTATTTGTTATATTAATAAATTATGTGATAATGAAACATATGTTTGTACCATTGAGGCCAATTAATGGTCAGAAACCCAAATCCATCATGTGAGCCTCAGAATATTAATTGTGAGATTATCCAAAGCAGATTCAAGTGCGCAGATAAATACAATTAAAGAAGTAGAAGAAAATGATGTAAATAATATTAAAAAGTTGCCACTTTTTAGCACTTTTCCAAAAATTTTTTGAAGAAAACGTGCTTATTAGTTTCATTCTGTCCGTCCGTCCGTCCGTTCGTGGACACTTTTTTTTGTTTACAAAACTTCTACACCCTTGAAGATAGAAAGCTGAAATTTAATACGTACATAGATCTTTACTAGAAACTTATTTTCGTAGAACAAAATTTTTACCCATCTCCCCCCCTCTAAAAGTTATACCCCGTCAAAACCCTAAAAATGGCCTTTTTTAACTATTTGTTGTAATGAAACCATAAGCATTTTTGAAATTTTGCAAATAAAGGCAGCGGCTTGCTTCTCCTAGCGCGGTATACTATAGTTAAACTATAGAAAAACATCTAATTCTAGAGAAATGCCCGTTCAAATTTACCGTTATCTAAAGTCCTTTTTTTCCAAATTTTTGATTTCGTTTTTCTTCTAGACCCCTGCTTGTAGAAGCTTGAAATTTTAGGGGCTTTTAGACATTAACAAATTGTTCATTTCTTTATTTTGTTCCATCTCCACCCCCTCTCAAGTTATCGCCTCTTGAAATTCGTAAAATTTGAATTTTTGATACCTTATATTTCTGAAACCGCAAGCTTTTTCAAATTTCTATAAACGCAAAAAGATAACGGTAAATTCCATGACATTAAAAAATATAATTATTTTTCTTAACTCACACAATTAACCCTTAAAATCGAGCATTATGTTAACCTCGCTTTATATTATTTTTGCTTTATTTCAAAGACTGCAGAAATCATTCATCCTAAATATATGCGATCCTAGAAATAGTTTTGTATATGAATGAAAATAATTTTAATAGTGTGATAGGTATACATAGACTGTATTTAAAAGCAGAATTTTCACTTGTTGAAGGGAAAAGTGCTACAATACAAACCATTGGTTTGACCCAACTTTATTATTGTTATTTCCCGTATATATAAAAAAATTTTTGGGTACATTTTTGCTTTAAATTTAGCTTGGATACAAAGGTACCGAAATTTGCTAAAATGTATTCAAATCTAGAACATTTAGATAAGAACGTACTAGAAATATTTTGGTGTAAGCTTGGTGTGATAGAAAATGCATTGCCTGTACATATTTTTAAAAATTTGTCCATTTTCATAGTAAATCGTCTTTACCGCGTAGTTCAGAACAGCTACAGAACATATACATATGTATGTATTTTCTGACCTTAACTTTCACATTTAAAGTGTGATAGAATTGTATTTGATTTCTTAAAAAATTTACTATTAATAACAAAACTCTTATTGTTTATTAAAACAAATAAATTATGAGTTAATTTGTAAAAAATAAGACGACTTAGTATAATAATTTTAATTTAAGAGGTTGGATACATTTAGGAACACTGCTCAGGATATCTTTTTTCTCTGCCTTCTTTTTTCTATCTTCTTACAAGGTCCTTTGAATCTATTGAAAGAAGTGAGACCCAAGAAATATATTCACAAGCGTTGGGTATGAACAGAGTGGGTCATCGTTTCCTGCACACCTCCGTTCCAGCAGCCTCTACAGAAATCGCTTAAAGGAATAACTTTCCTCCTGGTTTTTTCGCAGATCAAACAATTTTCTTTTGGAAATCTTATTGCATTACCGACTGTTGAATTTCCCGTTGGAGAAATACTTCCTCATTGTGTTACAGGTTGATCCTTTTCTATATTAATATAAACAAATGTATTCATGTTCAGCTAGAGCTGATGACAAAATTGCAGCAGAAACTACTTTTCAATAGCATCTAATATGCAACTGTTCATTTTTAATTTTATTAAAACTGTTCATATTAGTATCTAATATGCAACTGTTCAATTATTATGTTGGCGAAGTATTTTCTTCGTAGTTTATTATATCTACAATTATTTTATTATAATGCCATATAAAGATTCCGCAAATTTTTGTCCGAAAATTCTTGGAAAATCATCTCAAAAAGTTTAAAAAGATTTTTTTTAATAACCACGCTTTTTATTAACCTAGCTATACCATGCTGGTAGACCCCTTCTGCCAAAAGTTTTAAGGTTGCAGCTAGTTTCATTATGATTTTAGCAGCAAACTTTTAGATAAGCTGGTTTCATTCACATGTTAATCTGCTTGTTTATTTCCGTTCTTCTTCAATTTCTCTTAAAACATATTAAGAGATTGCCTCTTTTGCAACTCGAAAACTTTTTACACATTACACATTACAAGAAAAAAAATCAAAAAATTGGTGTTCTACTCCTTTTCTGGTAACTTCATTATATTTGACTGATCCTTTATCCCTTTACATATCCCTTTACGAATTCCCGTATGAGTACATTAAGCTACGCAACAATTCAAATCCTCGTGATCATTTGAGCTAGAACTTAGTAAACTTATTGCAACGCAACTCATATTTTTTTTAAAAATTAATCTTTTTAATGTACATTTATGTATGATTATTTTACATAATTCAAATGTTTACTTTGAAAAAACTAACTCAAAAATACAAAAATTTTAGAAAATTTTCCAGTTTAAATTTTTTGCGATGCGATAAAATATTATCCGAAAAATATCGTGATTATTGATTGACAGAATACTTTTATTCCATCTACGTATTACATTTTCATATTTTTAAAAAGTTTCAATAAATAAAATGTATGTACATATGTACCAAACAAAATCTGTTTCATGTTCAACATACTTTTAATATCACGTCCTACACATTTTACAGCTGTAATATTCAGCATACATAAGAAATATAATATAATGTGCTTACACAAGTATATTTTTTTAAATGTTTTTTTCTATATAAACTATTGTTTACGAAACCAAAACAATTTTATGAAGCCCTTGAAAAGAACACTTTGTATGTACATACATACGAGTACAAAGTTATGTATATAGATTTTTATATTAAAATTCTGTATGGATTTGTTTGTTATATAATATATAAAAATATGCAAATATTTTTCTTTTGTTATAGCATTGTAGAAAAGTCTTCAACATATTTTTGCAAGAAATTAAGCCAAATCTCTTTGGGAATGAAAAAATTTAGATTAAAATAATATCGCACTTATTATCTTATAATTAATTTTACATATAAATATTTTACGTGGTTGTCAGATTTTTAAAAGAAACAGAGACCATGAGAATTTTTTTATGAAACGCATAAAACTTATAAAAAAAATGGCCTTAGTTGTACTCGTTCTTAAATTTTTGAAAAGACGAACAGGTAGACATGGCTAAATATTATGTATACGTCTACACACTACACTTAGCAATTTCTATTTTACCAAATAAATTTTAGCTTAAAGAAGAGTGTTCCTATTTTATAAGCAACACAATTTGCTCATTTCAAATACTGCAATATTCAAACTTAAATTGAAAACATTTAAAAATAAAAATCTATTACTACTTCTATGGTATTATGAATGTAAATCTATGGTATCAAAAGAAAATTTACAGTCAGTCATTTGAAAAAACATCTTCCAAGAAATAAAAAGCCGGAACTTTTTTTTTTAAATTTTTCGTTACTGTATTTTTTGATTAAAAATTCTAAATAGAAAGCTTTACCATCCCGAGAACATTTTTCAGTTCCCAAAAAATTTTCATGAAAACCGGTACTATAGTGACAACCCTTTTAATTTAATCTAGTATATATAAACAACAATTTTAGGCTTTGCAGTTGAATATGTATATAGTCAACTTATTTGATATTTTCTCAAGGCTTAAAAGAATTTAAATTAACTTTCAATAAAATGCAGTTATGTTGTATCGTTTCATTCGATCGTTGCTTTTAAGTTTTTCAAGTTCACTTTTAAGCTAGGCGGATTTTACTAACATTTAGTGTCAGAGAATGAATAGAATGTGAATTTCAAAAATACGACACCTTGTCACGAGACCGATGAATCAATTAATCCAGCTTTAATCAGCATAGAACAGTTATAACTATGGCAAGCTTTAGTTTATAGTTTAAAATCTATTCAAGCCATGATGATTGAATATGATTCATTAAATATTTTATATCAATTTACCGCGAGAAAAAATGTTGTAAATTTTGAACTTATTCTTGCATCTACTAGTTTAAAACTTCTTGTACTTCATTATATTTGGTTTTGAAACCACTCTCTAGTCCTGTTTGTTGAAAATTTTGAAATGACAATAGAATATAAAGTTATTACAAAAATTCGAACCTCTTTGTTGGTTGTATAAGCATTCTAAAATTTTAGTTATGTGTAAGTCCAGCCTATCCTTTATTATTATGTATGTTATCCAATGTTATCTATTTTCTATTTTTTGAATATTGTTATAAAATTAAAATATCATTTTCACTAATTATCAGACTAAATCTAATCTAGCTTAATAAACACGCGCATTCTACTTAAAATTGATTTTACAAAAACTAAAAATATATTTCCGAGATTATTGTAATCTAATCAGCTTATGAAAATAATTCAGATTTTTTTTGATCGCTTTGATTTACTATAAAAGTGTAACAATGATCATGAAAGTTATCATTAATTCTTGAAAATTTCAAATGAAAACTGAGCTAAAACAATAATATAAATCACCTAATGAAATGCTTGATTTTCAGCCTGCTAAACTGTTTAGCTACATTGCCCAATTCAAATTAGCTGAATTTATTTTTTAATAATTACTCGTAGGAAAATTAACCAAATAAATTAGCTGATTTATCTACTATACTAGCTAAAATACCTAAAGATGTGGATTTCAACTAAGCAAATAGTCGGTTCACCTAATCATTTAGTTGATTTATTTTAAAACCCTTTTGAAATTTAACTAAAGAAAAAGGTTTTTTTAGAAAAACTATCTAAACAATTTAGGCTCTTTTCTAAGTTTATTTATAGGTTTAATACTGAAAATAAAAGAATGCTATAAATTAAAAATTAAGTTTTGCTTCATTTAATTTTGTTTGGTATATATACTGTGCAAATCATGAAATTATTTTTTTAGCGGTTTCTGTTCTTTTCGGTGGAACTTTGGGTTATTGTATATGATGTTTTTTTTGACTTAAGTATCAATTATTCTATGTTCTGTTCTCAATTTTTTTTAAACTATTAACATCACCTGTTTTCGATGGACCACAATGTTTGCCAGTAAGTGGAGGTAGTCTTCCAACTACAATTAGGGAAGCTCTTGACTTAATTCCATTAGACGATGTCGTAGAAATTTATATGGTCGCCATTAGTAATGATAAAGAAGTTCAAGAAGTTATGGAATTCGTTCAATCTGATGATTTTATAAAAATTGTAACTGCTGTTAACAAGCATCCAAAATTTCATGAGGTATTAAAATATGCATGCGATGAACTTTACTTAGACGCTTTTTATCACTTGAATATTGCTCACGAATATTTGGGAGAGCCAACAATTGAATGACAACCAATTGCTAATAAATTTGCTCGTTCGGCTTTCCTTGACATGTTTCAAGATATTTCGGATATTGTCCCAATCGATAACATCATGGCTTTAATGAAGCAAAAAATTGAGCCGGACGAATATGTCAAGAAAGCTGCTGAATTAATGAAATCAGATAATTTTAAGGCACTGGTTTCCACTGTTCATAATTTACCTGAACATCAATAGATGCAAATTGATCTAAGAATAATGGGAGTGCCAGTTGAACAAATAAATAAGTTCTTAGAAAAATTAAATTATTGCAATAAATATTAAAAAGGTGGCGGAAAAAAGATTCCTATCGTTAATCAATTTGAAAAAAGAAAGACATAAAAGAACTTAAAAAACATGTGTAATAAAGGTTGAATCAAGTACATTTGCTCTTAATTATTTGTTATTATTTGGAAGAAAAATATTATAGCTATATTTTATTCAATGTGTATGGTAAGTTGTATTACATTAAAATAATTTTTGAAATAAATACAGGTGCATTCAGGCATAAAAGTGCAAATTGTGCCAATTGCATAAAAATTTAGCGCATAAAACTCTTTACTACAATGTTTAAAGGAAATAAAATAGGACCAGATGGCAGTTGACAGCCTAAGAAAAGAGGATATCTCTTTTCCATTTCATACGTTAAACCTCGAAAAAATTTTTTTTTTAATTTCTTGATCAATATAGCAGATGATAATAACTCATAAAACAACAACAACATAATAAAAGCACCTGAAATCCGAAGCAACAGTCATTGGTTATATCAATTAGCTTTCAACAATATGCAGTTTTTGCACATTCAAAGATTTGTTTTTAAACATGCGTGTAGTTTTTTTTAACTTTAGCTGGATAGTAACAAAAAAAATTGTTTTTTTTATATGTAATCTTTTTTTATACTCAACAGATTTGCATATGCATCTTACATATCAAGTTAATAAATGATGAAATTCCTATCGAATTTACTATAAAAAATAAAATTAAGCATTAATTCATTTCACACACTAACAAACTTGTTGTTTTTTATTCAGGATGTTTTCAAGATTATAATGATCACATTGTTTTTTTTCATCTAAAAATCCCATCCAAAGAATTTTTGTAAAAATTCAATGATTTTTTCGACTGGAGCTCCCATTTTTCTCAATTCTCCTTCTAAAAATTGGTATTCTGGCATATCAGTTACAGTTTTGACTAATGCTTTGAAGTCATTTGAACTCATCATTTCAACGGCTTTCTTAACATATTCATCACTTTTCACTTTTTCTTTCATTAAAGCTACAATTTTTTCAGTTGGAATAACTTCTAAAATATCTTCTAACATGCCAAGGAAACCTGAACGGGCAAATTTGCTTGTGAATGTTGGTCGTTCAATTGCTGGCCATCCTAAATATTCGTGAGCAATATTCAAATAATAATAAGCATCAAGATAGAGTTCGTCACAAGCATATTTCATCAATTTGTGGAAATTGGAATGTTTGTTAACAGCTGTTACAATTTTAATAAAATCGTCTGATTGAACGAATTCCATAACTTCTTGAACTTCTTTATCATTACTGATGGCAACCATATAGATTTCTACGACTTTATCAAGTGGAACCAAAGCAATAACTTCTTTAATGGTTGGCATAAGCCCACCACTTGGTGCTTGGCATTGTGGTCCATCGAAAATTGATGCTAATTTAATTATAAAGTAAGTTATATAATAAAATAAAGCAGTTTAAAGACATAAAGATATGAACTTACGATAAGCATTAGCTCCACAGAGGAGAGCGGTAAAAGCAACAAAAATCAATTTCATGATTATTCGTAAGATTTTTATTTCACAGTTAAACCACTACTATCTCTACTTAGAGTCGTAGATAATTATTGAATGAAATTTGGTACAAATTAGAACGGTTTATATACCAATGCAAATATTTGATAAAAGTACATTATTTTTGTTATGGTTCAAAGACAGAGAAAATTTCAGTCATAACTTTGAAACAGAAAAAAAACGTTAATTTTATCAAATTTCATTAATTTACTTCTAATCTAATCATGAATTTACTTGACATTAAACCCAATTTATTACTAGTATAAAAACAAGCCAGTAGAACTAGTTCACAGAATCATTAAATTTATGACTCGTTCTTAAAAAGTTTAAAAAAAATTAACAAAATGTTTCGATTAATTTCTTAATAATTTAGTAAGTACATTGTCCAAGGGGTAAATATATTTTATTACTTGCATACGCATATCTATATTTGTATGAACTTTGACCAAATTTTAATACAATTATAAATTACAAAAATTAGGCTTCAGTACACCTATTTGTTTAACATACCTGTCAAAACTTACTAATTTTTAAAATTTAAAATTTAAGTAAGTTTAAATTCTCTTTATGTGGTAGTAACATTCATTCAACATTAAATAATGCTTTAATCATTTTTGGTTTTCGCTTACTTAATAAACCCATTGTATAACCATGTATAATCCTACGTATGTACATGTACATAGTTATAATTAACTAGTATAGTTTTTTAAAATGTTGAACGATTGTTACTATGAAGCAACTAGTTATAGGTATTGTGTAGGTTGCATTAAAACAGCCAACGCTTAAATTGCATCCGTTTAATATCATATTTTCATTGCGCACCTTATTATATTTTGAAAAGTTATAAAACTATCGTTGATTCATTTTCAATTTTAATCGGTCAAAGGCAGAGCTGTTTTAAATTTTTTTTTCTCGTTATTTCGTTTTTATTTGATTAGATTTCTAAGCTAATTTCTTTTCTTAACACCCACATAAATTTAGGAAATATTTTATAATATCACATTATACTTATACAGCTACAGATTATACAGATATACTTATATAGCTACAGATTAATTTTAAAAGCTACAAAAAAAACAAAAAAAACATAATGTTCAATTACTGTAAATCAAAAAAAAATTTCACACATATTTGCTTTTTCTCACATTCACCGATACAATTCCTGCTCCAAATTCATTTTTCTTAATTATGTATTTAACATTTTCATCATTATCTAAGTCGTTTAGTATATAATACCACTTGTAGAAAATCAAATGTAACAAAAATTTTTAACATTTATTAAACTTAATAACACACATAGTACTTCTATAAATACACGCATGTCGTCCCAAGATTTTTGTTCTGCTCTAGTGCTGCTCTAGTCATAAACTTAACTAAAACAATATTGCCCTATTCTTGTAAAAAACATGGTTTCTTCACAATAACCTTGGGTGTTTTACTTCAATAGGTTTTCTTAAATAGTCAAGATTTTAATTTTCTCCTTTTTCTTGTCATTTAAGTGGATATAACATGCTTTAGAATAGAGGTATAGAGAAGTTATTAGCGATTTTTGTTTACCTAGATTTTTACAATATCTACATTTACATGCATTCCACACACTTATCAAATTTCATTAGTTTAAGAAATAACGAATAAATTTGATTATCTTCGATAAATTCTATCAATTTCAGAAAGGGTATTTCTGAAAACCATTCTTAAATTACTATTGAATTTTTAAACCAGTTCTGCATTTTAGCACTTTTCCAAAAATTTTTTGAAAAAAAATAGTGCTAATTGCTTTCAGTTCGTCCGACCGTCAGTCCGTACGTCTGTTCGTCTGTCCGTCCGTTCGTCCGTGGACATGTTTACAAAACTGTACATAGATCATAGTAGAAAAACGAAATGGCCGTTCAAATTTACCGTTATCTAAAATCCGTTTTTTTCAAATTTTTGATGTTTTTTTTCTTCTAGACCCCAGGTTGTGGGTGCCTGAAATTTTAGTAACTTTCAGGCACTAACAAATACCTCATTTCTTGAGAAGACATTTTTGTTCCATCTTCACCCCCTCTCAACTTATTGCCTCTCGAAATTTGTAAAATTTTTATATTTGGCACCATATATTTGCGAAACCGCAAGGATTTTTAAATTTCTATAAACGCACAAAGGTAACAGTAAGCTCCATACCATTAAAAAATATAATTATTTTTCTTAACTCACACAATTAACCCTTAAAATAGAGCACTATGTTAACCCCTCTTTAAATTAATTTTTTCTTTATTTCAAAGACTGCATAAATCGTTCATCCTAAATATATACAATCCTAGAAATAGTTTTGTTTATGAATGAAAACAATTTTAATAGTGTGGTAGGTATACATAGACTATATTTAAAAGCAGTATTGAAAGAATATACTTGTTGAACGGAAAAGTGCTACAATACAAATCATTGCTTTGACCCAACTTTATTTCAATTTGTCCTAATTTTGACTTTAATACTTAAGCAAACATTTTTTTTATAAAAATAAAATGTATTTACTTTATGTATATATGTAAGTACACTTTAGAAATTTTTATAGAGTATTTTAAGGAGCAACCGATAAAGTAGGAGGGTAATGAAGAATGGTATGCGAAATCATACTCAAGTATTGGATGCAAATAATTTAAAGCATTAATATAATAAATTTTATTTTTAAACATTTAACTTATCATCCTAGAAACAATAATTTCTATAAATAATTGTATTCAACTACGATTCTCGACACGGATAAAAGTTCATACAACATGGGTGAAATCGAAAACTAAATTAAAACAAGAGAAGTGTTATCATAAAATTATTGCAAAGCAATTGCATTACACTTAAAATGAAAAAGAACCGCGTAAGGTAAGAAGTATATAAGACTTTCTCAATACTAAAATTTCGTCAAGCTTAAAAGATTTTGTTTAATCAGTACAATTTCATTTCAATTAAATGCTTTAATCCCTTCAAATTTAAATAAAATTCATATTTTTTGTGAAAGGCTGTTTAATACGTCAATAACTATAAGAGATTACTTAGCACTGCCGCAATATTTTTATCAATATGATAAGCAAATGTACTTTAAGCACTTACATATAAAGAGTATATAAAGAGTTATAATTTATATTTTAAATCATTCAATTATTTCTACGACTCTAAGTAGAGATAGAAGTGGTTAAACTGTGAAATAAAAATCTTACGAATAATCATGAAATTGATTTTTGTTGCTCTTACCGCTCTCCTCTGTGGAGCTAATGCTTATCGTAAGTTCATATCTTTATGTCTTTAAACTGCTTTATTTTATTATATAACTTACTTTATAATTAAATTAGCATCAATTTTCGATGGACCACAATGCCAAGCACCAAGTGGTGGGCTTATGCCAACCATTAAAGAAGTTATTGCTTTGGTTCCACTTGATAAAGTTGTAGAAATCTATATGGTTGCCATCAGTAATGATAAAGAAGTTCAAGAAGTTATGGAATTCGTTCAATCAGACGATTTTATTAAAATTGTAACAGCTGTTAACAAACATTCCAATTTCCACAAATTGATGAAATATGCTTGTGACGAACTCTATCTTGATGCTTATTATTATTTGAATATTGCTCACGAATATTTAGGATGGCCAGCAATTGAACGACCAACATTCACAAGCAAATTTGCCCGTTCAGGTTTCCTTGGCATGTTAGAAGATATTTTAGAAGTTATTCCAACTGAAAAAATTGTAGCTTTAATGAAAGAAAAAGTGAAAAGTGATGAATATGTTAAGAAAGCCGTTGAAATGATGAGTTCAAATGACTTCAAAGCATTAGTCAAAACTGTAACTGATATGCCAGAATACCAATTTTTGGAAGGAGAATTGAGAAAAATGGGAGCTCCAGTTGAAAAAATCATTGAATTTTTACAAAAATTCTTTGGATGGGATTAACTATATTGAAAATGATATTTAATTAACAATTAATTTTGCTTAACAAAATTTTTCAAATATACATTAGAATATTGAATTTGAAAATTATTTTTTTGTTTAACGAAAACTTTTATTTTTTAAATGATAATAGCTAATAATAGTAAAAGTTAGTAGATGTACTAATGGCTGATTTCCAAATGGCTAAAAGTGCATAGCAGCTGGGGCACAATTATTGTAGATATGTATGTTGTACTCGTATGTACAAATAGTAGTTGCCTTGTTATTAATATAGTTTGTGCTAAACATATCAACTGCCAAAAGTTTAATTTACACCCTGCAGAAAACATTTTGTACTTCATTTTTATGTAAAGTTTATATTCAAATTTAATTAGACATTACTCAATTTTTTTTACGAAATATTACGAATTTTTGGCTTCGTTGCTGGTTTTTTCTTTAAATGCCACTGATCGCGTCATATTTTTTATTATTTTTTTCTTTTTTTTTACGTAAAAAAGAGTTTAATATTTTAAAAAATCTCAGGGTATTATACACATTTTTTAAGAAGGATGTATGATTTTTCATGCACATTTGTATTTCCCAATTTTACAAAAATGTTAGTAAAAGTAATATAGGTTGACACATTTCAACAATTTGAATTATCTCATTTCGGTTATTTATACGTGACTTATAAAATTGTTTCAAATAATTTCAGTTAGTTTTTAAGTTATTAAAAATAAATATGTATGTACCTACTTTTGTAACTTCCTATAAATTCATACCCTGTCTGTGTATGAATCTAATTAGTAAACGCAAACGGACAAAAATTTACATCAGTACCTTCTGCCTGTCATTTTACAATCGGAGTTTTTGAGTCATTTGCTATTCGTAAGATACTATTTATTTTAAAAATAAAAAAGATATTCGAATCCGGTAATAAAATATATTATTGTCTTTTCCAAAACCTTTCAAATATTTTTTTACTTAGGTAATATATTAAGTTTTAAAAATTTTTCTCAAAAATAGAGGTAAAATTTAGAAGTGTATATAAAGTTTGTATTTAAAAAATAATATTTGATTGTATTTTAGATATTATTTTCTAATTCTCTCTTCAAATTTTTTCTTTACTATGTATTCATATCAATATTTAATAATTATTTTTCATTAATTATATTTTCAACTTGACACCACAGTTACTTCCCATATCTTGAGTTAACTTACCCTATGAGAAAAAACAGCTGTTCTCTTAAAAATAATGAAATACTTTTAGTAACATATAAAACGTTGAATTGGAAGGTTCTGCTTGTTGTTTTTCCGCTGTTTCAAGAATTTTAAAATAATTATGAATGAAAATAATAATATATATTCTTGATTTTTCAAATATATTTCCGAAATTCTACCTGCTTTATAATAAGTGTGAATTTATTTTAATATTTCTTCTCAAAAAATAGCCACTTCGATTTAAAAAAACCTATATAAAATAAAGTTGTGCTTTCAAGTTTCTCTCTGAGCATAGATATAAAGACATTATTCATATACATACGTACCCATAGACGTCTTTATATAAGACTGCGTAGTACCACAGGGATCTTTATTCTCAAGACTTCGTAATACACAATTTAGTAATACATACTTGCGGTGTTTTCAAAATTGATCATCATACTTTGTTAAAAAATATATTCTTATATTATAGGTATTTTCGAATAAATTAGAAATGTTCATGGTAATTTAGGATGTTTGAAAAACAAAAACGATTAAATACAAAATTCCTTTTTAAATAACGAAATGAAATTTCATGTTGTTACAAACTGGAATAAAGGTAACAAAACAGGTTTTAGGTAATTTATTTGTTTTTTAGGTAAAACAAAAATAGTAATGACATACACAATAAGAATTCTTTTTGAAAAAAATAACTTTGAATTCACATTTTTATTATCTATGTACATAACATATTTACTTAAAAAATAAAATTTTTAATCCATTTTTCTTAAAGCTATATGCTTTATTATTACCTCGTTCTTTGGAAAAATAAACGTAGGTATAGCATTTACGTTCTCCTTTTTCGTAGACTATGTTACTGTTTTTTATAAAAATGCAACCTTTGACGTAACATCTTCGAACATATATAAAAATAGTCAAATATATTATTATATTTTATTTTATTATAAAATTTAGTATTATTCTTTCAAAAGCACCTTTATTTTATATTAAATAATATGAACAAAAGACAAAATTTAATTAATATAAATTATAAATTTTCGATTTGTTTAATAACACAAATAATAAATATTAACTAAATTATTCACTAAATTTAAATTAAATTTTAAACAACAATTAAATTTTTTTTACCGCTTAGCGGTCCTGGAACTTATTTTCATGAACTGCTACTGGATAACGAAAGACTTAAAAAGTAGCACGATGTCTTATTCAAAATTTCAATCCATATTTTGAAAAATTAAAAAATTTGTTATTATCAAAAAATCAGATTTTGTTTTTTTTTTCTGTTTGAGTTATTTTGATAAATACTTTTGAATACAATAACCTGAAAATGTCAAAAGTGGCGTATAGGCCAATCAAATTCCTGAAGTAATTCTTAAAAAAAAGATTAAAAACCGTAAAACTTCCAAAATTTTAAATTTTTTTCTTTTTTTTTTTAATTATTGCAGGCATGCAACAGCATGCACACACACCAATATATGGACGTACAGTTAAAGGCACACTACTATATAAGGAAATATCAATAAGTACATACGACTGACATCTACATTTTTAAAAGCAAAATAACTACAAGCATCATGTACATATAATACATATGTATATACATTTTATACTTAATGAACATTTGCCTACACATTTTTGCTCTACAATATTGTTTTTTAAATTAGTAAAAAGCAAAAAAAACGAGAAAAAATAGAGTTGACCTTGCCAACTCTGTGATACCCGTACGAATTTGTTATCCTATGTGCGAATAAATATGCCATAACTGACTATGGGACAGGCTGTGACTTTAAGTTACCGTATTACTATATTCATTTATGCAGAATTTCAGTACTGTGCGTGCCAAACAACTTTGAAGCTGTACGGCTATTACCAGAAGGAGCCAAGCAATTTCAACGACTTTTATCAAACACATTGGCCCTACTAATATATTCGTTTGTGTGAAATTTCAATACTACAGCTTTTATAGTTTCTGGGATATAGCCAAATAAATTTTGAAGTCGTATGGCAGCTACCCGAACCAGTACCCCGATCATGTCCAAGTTAAATAGGGTTCTGGCACTTACTACAGTAAATCATGTGTGAAAATTTGGTGAACTTAGCTCAATTAGTTTTTTAGTTATCGCTGGGACAGACAAAGCTTGGGTCATAAAAAACATACACTTGAGTCTATATCTTTGGTAAGGTAACTTAGTAAATTTAGTACGGTGATGTAAATTTAGTATTCCTTTCGAACATACGGTCGTGCGGGTATAAAAATAAAGAGATTATTTATTATACTCTAGTACTCACAAAGGGTAAATTATTTTTGTTAGTGTTTTTAAATGTAATACTTTATGTTCTGCCAATGTTTGGCCCCCGATTATAAAAATTGAAAAATATTTTTTTGTTCTTGTTGAACTATCTTGTAATTATAAAGGCTTTGGTTAAAGGTTATATGATTTTGATTTAAAAAGCAATGTAGAAAAAATTGTGGGTAGTGAAATTTCAATATCCAAATTAAACTATTTTTATTTATTTACATAAATTTAACAGTATAGATGATGCTTAATAAACATCACCTATATAAATAGAATGCATATTATAAAACATATTATATCTGTCATTAATATTATATCTGTCATTAATTTTCCCATTGTTTTAGCTTTTATTGTAACATATCTAATGTGGTTACGAAATCTAGGTTAAATCAAATTCTGCCATAAGCTGTACTTTCTTAATTTAAAACTATTTTAAAATTTTTAACATTTTTGGTACTAGTTTTTTATCTATACCTATTCAGATAACTCATGATCAAAAAGTACTTATACTTATAAAGATATGGTAATCAGAAAGTTGTGTATCCATTATGTGGAAAAAATATTGCGAACTAATGCCAAATCTAGTTGCATATTGCTCAGATACTTTATCACATATAACCAAACCATGTTAAGCAAAGGATTGTAATAAGCCCTAATGTTGCATGAGTTTTAATTCAAAAAATTAAAATGCTTGCCTCCCAATATATAAGAATTCGTGTACATATATGAGTATTCATGAAGTTTGTTAATAAAATTGACAACATTCATGAGTTTCATGAGATCTGTAAACGGGCAAAGTTTATGTGCTATGTTGAAGTATTTTAAATGCCAAAAAAAGTTTGATTTTTCAAAACGTTTCTCAACTACTAAAAAACTAATGGGCTATTAATATTTTGGTGTACAAACACCACCATACGAAGTTACTTCTATTTGAGAAATGTGCTACATATATGTGTATTCAAAGCAATCCTTTTTATATTTATGCAGCAATATTTACGACAAGATAAAGACATGTATCACTTATTCGTAAGGGTTGTTCAATATATTTAGATTGTGTAGTTTATTATGTAATCTTTGTATGTTTAAATATAAAATATTAAGATTATTTATATATACACACATATTTGGTATTTCCTATACATATTTTCTTTTCTACCCCTGCTATACACCCTTATGTTGTCATTAATATCTATCATATCATCTTTTTTATTGGAAATAAAAATAATTTTTTAAACCTACATTTACTGATAAAAAAGGATTACATTTTATGTATGTCAAGCAAAATTTTGAGTAAATAAACAAGAAGAAAAATAAAGTTGTATTGTAGCACTTTTCCCTTCAGCAAGTGAAAATACTTCTTTTAAAAACAGTCTATATTATACTAGTCGTGTGTGCTTGCATTGCAAGCCTTGCAAGTATTATGCCTGTAGTTTTGAAATTGTGTTCCATTCTGTGGCTGAGATATTTTAAGTTTACTTTATTTCTTCAAAAACACACCCGTAATATACATATAGATATGTTTTTTGCTGATAAATAATAAGATAAAACTTAAAACTTAAAATAAA